CCCCCGCGCCCGCCCCTGCCGGGGGTGGCCCCAGCCTCTCCCCGGGCTGTTCTCGGCAGGGAAGAGGGGTTTCCCGCCGCCCTGAGCCCTTTGGGGCTGCCCGGGATAACGCGGGGCTCGGCAGCAGGGCAAGGCTCTGCCCTGAGGCCTCCCGCGGCCGTAGCTCTGCCGTGCGTGATACGGGAAGGGCGGGTGGTGGGTCATCCTGAGGAGGATGCTCTCACCCTAGTTGCTAAATCTGGGACTTTTTTTTCCCTGCTACTCATTGTTAGCAAGTTTACGGGGAGTTTTTCACCTCCATACTGGCCAGATGTGAGTCAGACCTGGACGTCTGCTGCTGTCAGTCCTACGCTGAGTCTGGGCTACTAAGTCTCACAAAGAAGCTGGACAGATGGCCTCAGGCAAGGGCCACCCTAACACCGAGACGTAACTTGCAGCCAGCGCCGGGCAAGGACAGAGAACCTGCCTGCAAAAGACAGCAGAAGCATATATCAGACTGTCACCCTCCCATCCACAATGAACAAACCCTTTATTTATCCTCTTGCAGAATTAACCTTTGCTATAAAAGCAGACCTGCACCACCTAATTCACGCACCTTCCACCTGATGCTGGGCTGCCCAGCACAGTGCTCATTTTAGAAACATCACCATAACCCTCATAATAGCAGGCAGATCATTAGAAAGAGATGAAATGAACTGACAAACTGGCAATTTCAGACAGTACGAAACTATTAAAAGAGACTTTGAGTCAGCTATAGATCAGTAAAATGCTCTATTTATTAGAAAAACAGTAAAAACTGAAAGGACCAAGAAAAGGGGGGAGAGGATAAGGAAGAACATATATACAAATGTGAAAGGAGATTAAAATCACAGTCTTAAGTGAATATTCAGTGTAATTCTTTCCAAAAGGAGAGTCGGTTCATGTTTCAGAACAGGAATGCATTAATGCCAACTGTAATATTTTCCCACTCTAGATATATAAGATGCTGCAATATGAATGTTAATACAATTAATGCATGTTACAACTGAAGATATAAATACAGCTGGCATAATCTGCTAGCAATATATCTTAAAATATATGTGGGAAATTGAAATGGCGAACTGCTCGGTTAGTTCAGAAAGAACAAATTTTAGTTGAAAGGAGTGCAGAATATACATGTTACAGTCCTGCTCACCTTGTTTCTACAAAAATAGAACATGTCCAGGTATAAAAACAAGAAAGAACTGAAAGGGTGTTGGAACACGGATTAATCTACCTTGAATTTGCTGCTCCTCAGCTGTACTCTGGCCTTACGCATCACAGCACAAAGCAACTTGCACTGTGCCAAGTTCAGTAGGAGGTGTAGGAAGCAAGGCCTGTTTGAAGCTAAGAGCAAACAGGAGGCCAAAGTCCAACATTACAATTTCAATGAGTATGAATGAAATGCCCGAAAATATTACACAAAGACAGTAAAAGTACTTTTCATTGTAATTCCTGAGTTCGAGCTAAAAGGAGTAATACAAAGAGGACAGCTGGGCTTTTCAGAAAATGCTTTGTCTGTGTCACTGAAATAATCTAAAATAAGCCTGTTTAATCTGGACGGACTGTGAGGCCTTCAACGGCGAGTTATGAAACTACATGCTCAGTGGCCTCTTTCTGGAGCCTCTTGATACAGGGAAAGGAGGCTGCGGGAGAAAAATGCTCAGGACCACACTTTCAAGTGATATCTCTTTTGGACTTCATTCCTTCAGGGGTCTTGCCTGGAGAAGGCTCTTGGCTCCATCTTATTTTCAGGGTGCTGGTTGTCTCCTGACTCAGCTGGGATTCTGGCATGCACCAGTGCAAAGGCAGGAGGCCTGGAAGCTCCCACTAAAATGTAGCCCTAAGAATTCACCCAAGAGCCTACATTTCCAAGCCACGTGGGGTGACTCACAGAAAGAAGCACAGGCAGAAGCAAGCACTTTAGCTCAAGGTGTCTGTTCCTCTGTGCTAAGCAGCAGGCAATTGTGCCTCTCCAAAGACAGTATACAAGAATTCAGCTGTACTACAGAAGATTTTGGGAAGTCACACGCTTCTTTTTTTTAAAAGGTCTGTGAAAGAAAACAAAGGTTAAATGTCCAAGGTGAGTCACAGTGTGAGCTCAAGTTGTGCTACATCCTTATCCCATCTTAAAACCAGTAAAATTGTTGGCTGCTTTGGGATAATTATCTCTAATTTTCCACCTGCAGCAGCTTGGGATGATGGCTCTGTCTTCCACATCAGAAGAACCAAAGCACCAGCGAACGTATCGCTTGTAAGCAAGGTGACGCAGCTGGTTGTTGACATTGCCATCCATCAAGTCCAGAAAGGGGTCTTTGTAGAGAAGGGCTTTCTTCAGGGTGTGACTGCACAGCAGCAGCTGCTGAAACCAATGGGAGGCTGTGATGCACTGCCCTTTTCTTCTTCGGCAGCAGAGCTGCTCATGGTACTTTTGTGTTGGCTGGCATTTGCCACAGCCGCACCACTTTTGGCAGTCTGGGGAAGAGGCCCCTTGTCTGAGAGGTTGCCCCAGCTCGTATTCTTCAGTATCACGGTTCTCGTTGGACTCACTGGTGCGCATCGGCTTGGATTCTTCGTTATCATGTTCTCGTTGGACTCGCTGTTGCAGCAGCTGCCAGCATCACAGAATTTCACAGGGTGGCTCTGCAACAACAATCTCAACATAAATTAGAGAAGAAAACAGCATTTGCTGCTTCATCCAACCACAGAGGGAATTTACAACAGTGATCCTCACCATTGGGTTTTTCATTTGACACAGCACAATAGGGATAATGACGATAGATCAGCAGATCTGGAGGAGGATTGTCTTTCTGTGTTGCCAACGCCCACCCTAGCGAAATTGAATCGACACCTCGCAAGTTGTTTCAACACCAACGTACTCCCGCTGGTACATACCCACCACAGGAAAGCAGCAATTTTTAGCTGACTCTAGAAAATACATCCTCTGGTCACAGGAGCTATTAAGTTGAAGCAGACAATAGCGGACAATAGATCTAGTTTTAGCCTCTCAGAACATAATCTGGAAATATGGGAGGGGAGGGTGGCGGAAAGCCAAATCAGTTTGGAATGACATTCCTCAGTTCTCCCTTCTGAAGGGAGGATCCCAAAGATGAAGAGTCTGTCTTTACCTCAACAATGCTGCCTTGAGCATGCTGCAAGCTTGTTTTCAGAGGCTTCTTTATCAAGGTAATGTGTGGCTCATCAACATAGGACACATACATCACCTGTGCAGCAGAAGAAATTAGCATTGTCAGCTGGGGTAGTTGGAGAACTGGGGATAAACACAGCATAGATCTGACCTCAGGACTTGGGTTCTGCTGTCTGTACTCCAGTAACAATACCCTGCAACTGCATGTTGCAAGGGCCCGTGTTTCCAGTATCCGGGACAGCAAGGACACGGGGAGCTGCAGGGACAGAGGGAACAGGAAGAGACGGTATGGAACTGACTGTAGGAGTGTGGTTGTGCAGGGCCTTTAGGTACTCCCTTCTTCACTCTTCTTTAAAAATACATGTCTAAACTGCTGGGGGATTAGTAGAGGTACCCTAAAAAAATAACCATTAATATCTTGAAAAAGAGGAAGAGGCAACTGAAGTTGGCAGGGAAGAGGCTTTGAGCAATGCCCTCTTCACGGACAACCCTTTCATGACATCCTTCTGCTGTTTTGAAGGACCACTAGGATTTTTTTTGTTTTGAAGGATCATCCTTTTGAGGGATTCCCTGCAGGTTTCCCTGATAGAGCTGGTGTGACTCTGCCATGCAAGGTTATGTGTAGAGCACACTGCACTCACGCAGTGCATGCCGTGCACAGCTCCATGGAAGCTTCCTGGATCAGCTGCATTTTTGTACCCACAGAGCAGGAATTTACATTCTTTACCTGTCCTGGATTCAGCACAGTCTCATACTTTTTCCTGTTGTAAATTTTGTAGAATGGTGATTTGCTGCAGCTGGAGCAATGACCGACACAAAGAGCAATTTCAATGGCACTCACAACCTGCACGTGGAAAAAAAAGCAAGTAGTGATTCCACTTTCATAATGAGACTGTATCTCCAGAACTGGTTTTATTAACACAAAAAATAAGTCTCTCAACAAACCAAAATAGGAAATTATGGACCCAATGTTTTTAATGAGTTCAATGCCATTATATTTTCTAACCTTAAAGAAAGCAGAAAAGAATAACTGGGAGGCAAGATCTGTTACCATTCATGCAACTTAATGGCTTTTCTTTTTTTGTCTCTTCACAACGTACCTTTGTCTCTTTACAATTCAGTCAATCCCAAAATTTCACAGACCATCTCAGACGCTTTGCAGGGGAGAATCAACAACTTGAGAGGGAAATAGTGGTGACACGTGGGGTTCATGACAATAACATCACAACATGATGGTACCTGTTATTGTCTCAGTCTTAGACAACAATCCTGCCTTTCTTCCCGCCCTGCCATTTCATCCTCAGCTTTGCTCCCCTATGCTTCTCAGCTCAGTTTAGATCTACTGATCTGACATGACTTCCATCCCAGAATGGTGGACAGGAGAGAGGAGAGGGGTATATGGCAGAAGTGGGGCTAAGGAAATCGCAAGCTTTCTTCTCCCTCCACAAGGAAAAATAATTGCATTTACTGTGCCAAAGACAAGGTCATCAAACCGTATTCCGTAGACTTTGAAAAGGGTTCTCTGCTCCTTCCCATGTGGTAGCTTGTAGTACCTTGCATATCTGCAAAAGAGTAAATGAAGATCTGTGCAGCTTCCCCAGGGATATAATGCCATGAGGCTGCAGAACACAAAAAGAGGCGTAGTTTCTTCTCCCTTCCTCCAGCCCTTTCAGCCTTCTGAAATGAAGCCGCTGAGGCCAGCTTGATGAACAGTATTTTGCCCAGCATCCGACCTGGCAGTCTAAACTAAATTAATACATATATAGAGATTTAGACAAATTAAAAATCCAACTTCTGTCCAACAAGTGTTTTGCTGTCTCAATTCAAATTGGAACCTGAAGCTGCAGAAAGAAGTTCAATCACAGGTAAAACAGATAGAAAACCCCAGCAAGGATATGTGAGGAGCTGGCAATGACAAGAGCACCCATGCTCTGAAGGCTTTAATATCATGTTATCCAAGGCCAACTCTGAACCCCTGAGCACACTTCAGCATGCTGGATAGCAGCCATTTTCCATTCTTCGGTCAGTATAGAGTGGCAAAAATCATGTGAGCCTTTACTAACTTCCAGTTTCTTATTCTATCAAGAACATGACCCTCCTGATGCACAGCTCACATCAGCTTATGGATCAGTAAGCAGTCACAGAGCGTGGAACAAAGAGATCTTTTTAAATCTGACAATGAAAAGCTGGCAGTATGGACAAAATCATTACATTAAACTGAAAGACATACTAAAACACACAATGGTACTAATATCAGACCTCTGACAACAACACTCATATGTCTTCTGCCTCAGATATGCTTTCAGGACTCAAAGTGCTGTATTGTTCTTGACTGGTTTACTTGAGTGATCTCCTTCATTTAGATAAATAATCTGAATGGGAATTTGCTTAGCCAAAGGGACAGAAGGTCAGTTCCAGGGGTGGCAGATGCTCACAGATCACTGTCATTGCTAATCAAATTTTGGTTTATAGTTGGTTGCCTGTTCAAGTACTGAAAGAGTAAGCTGTTTAAGAGGATATGTCTGGTGTAAATGCCATCAGCTCAGCCCTCTGCTTTCTAGCATCTCCAGGTACTCATTCAGATGATAGAGACATCTAAACAAAACCACATTTTCCTCCTTTCCTTTCTCTTTGGGTTCAGTCTGCTGCTCCGGTTTGCTATCTTGATGCTAACAAACCAGCCCAGAGCAAGCTTTTACTTGATTCCTCTCTCCTGCACATCCTACTGCAAGCTAAGTTTGGCAGACTTTCAGAGGGCTTTTAATCAGAGTTCCCTAGATCATGCGATCATTTGCTTCCCATTCACCACGATCTGATTTGTATTCTCTGAAGGCAGTGAGTCACTCAGAAAAAGACACTGTAATGTGTTCTGCTTTCTCCGTGCTTGCACAGACGTGAAATGTGCTTTTTCCTGGGCTGAACGGTTCCACAGTCTGTGGCCAAGACATGTTTTATTGGCCGGCTCTCAGCCTCTGAAGCCTGCAGGTCAGTTAGGTTTTATTTGAAAGTTTTCCTAGCTCTTTCCAGGATCAGAGCTTGTCTCTAGCCCTCAGGGTAGAGGTTATTTCACATCTGACTCTTGACGGCATCGAAGCCTTCTCCTCTGTAACACCTTTGTGCTCAGAGCTGACCTGTTAAAAGCTTTCTTGATCACTGGCTGAAGCTTTGCTCCCTTGCACCTCAAGCAGTTCTCTTCTTTGGGAAGGCTAAAGCCTGCTTCCATTTAAGTCTGTCACAAAATTCCCTTTGGAACTGAGATGAAATCAATAGGGCTTCATGCAGACAGAGGTTATAAGCATTCTATACGCGCCCTGTTTCTTATGCTCTTTCCCAAAATTTTCTCCTGCTATTGATCTCTGTTAGCTTTAGGACACTGGGCTGGTTGGACCTCTAATATGATAATATTTTACATTCTTATGACATGTCACTGATGTCAAAAAAGTCTTCTTGAAATATATTAATTGTAGGATCGTTTCTACCTCTCCCCTCCCCTTACTCCCTTGGGTAGTTCTACTGAAACCAGCAGCTCTGTTTGTACAAGTTGGCATACGCTTGCTCAGCAGTGTGGCAGGGTTTGTGCACGTTCTTTGCCAAAACATCCATGCTTGTTTTAAATAGTATTATGCTCAATCTATTCACTGCTCTTCAACTTTCACTGTCTTTGCTTTTTAAATGGCTGCACTGAACCACTCTGCTCCTCTTTTTTAATTTTGGAGACATTAAAGAATGACATTTCTTTACCAATAAACCCCTTGATTAACAGATAAAGAGTCAGGCCACCAGGATGTGGTCTGGCATCATGCACGCTCTCGCGGCAGCCTGTGTTCTCAGACCAGGCTCGCTTCCTGCAGCAGAGATTTCAGCTGAACAGCAGCAAAATAATCTTGCTACAAACTGGTACTTTGATGCCTAAAAGATAATAAATTTTGGGCAAACCCGTTCTTGGCATTTTGACCCCAGCTGTTATTCTGACACTAAACATCCTCAAAACTACTCCACCGTCTTCTTCCAAAAGCCTTCTCAGAAACTGCTTTGCCTACAAAAATGTATTCAACAGAAAGGCTGCTGGCCTCAGCCTCACAGCACTGTTTTGCTTTTTCCTTGTGATCTCCCCACCTCCTGTCCGTGGTTGCCGGGTCAGAGGGAACACCTATTTGGCCTTTATTGGCACAGCTCCGGCACAATGCAGCTTTGGAATACGCTGGCAGCTCCTAGACAGTTACAGCACTCATGTTAGCATCACAAATGTATGAAAACCCATCATGTAATAATAATCATGCCGTGAGTCAAAAAAAGAGTGTTGTTACACAAGAGTTTTGACCTAGATCTGAGGGACAACTTTAGTTTTAAACATGTTGATAAGCATTTGATAAATGCTTTGTGTAACTATTTAGAACTGGAGTCATGTCAAGATTTTTTGTCAAAAATTCTCATAAATCTGCTATATGCACACAGAACCAAAAGCTCTAATTTGCTTTTGAATAAATCTTGATTCAGTGAACTGTGGGGTTACCCAGATGGAAGAAAAACACTTTGTGATTTTATTTGTGTTAATTGCCTTGGGAATCGCACAAGTTTAGGTAGTTTCAAGCCTCAGTTGCCACATGGTGGAATCTGCCCAAACTATTCTCTGTGTTAGCTCCCAGAATACTCTTTGGAAATTTCTAGGCCTTACGACGCAGAAATAAAATCTCCTGCAATACAAGCGTGCTCATTTGGAAGATGACCATGATGATACATCTATACAACTGCAGTAACTGCAAGTTAAGGACATAACTACAAGAGTGAAGAAGAAGAATCAAACGTCTTGTCACTCCAAGTTATCATTCCCCACACTTCATCACACCTTTGCTTCAACGCAGAAAACATGCTACTTGCTTCATATAACATTTTTTACCTGAAGTGGAATCCAGGCTTTATTTTTTTTGTCATCAAGGTGGCGGAAACCATACTTTGGACTGCAGTCGTAAAACCAGCTGTCCAAGTTACAGTCCCAGTTAATTTCAGTGGCAATGATTCCTCCCTAGAAACCGACATAGTAAGCTCAGGGACTAGCGCTGTGATTGCTGCCTGTGCTAAACTGCTGTTAAAGTCAGCGGAGACTTGAGGGATGCCATTGGCAGGGACACATCTCTATAGACACGCTAACTCATAAGCAACATTTGCCAATCAAGCAGTCTTCTATGGAAGTGACTTAGTTACCTGAGCTAGAAGCTACCATTCCGTCAGGCCTTTCCTACATTCTGTCTACGTCTCTTCATCTTAGCAGCACAAATGTGGATGTAGCCAATGTACTGTGACCGTCGTTTTGTTGCTTTAAACTACGTATAGGCTCAACCCGAAAGCCTGAATGCGAGCCTAAGTTTTATAGGCACCCAATCCAAATGTTTCATCTTGAATGCACTGTGCCAGGCTGAGAATCAATAAATGTGACTCAGTTGATGACTGGGCGGGACACTGTCTCTACTTCTATTCTACCCATCCGTTAATATTTACTATTTATTTCTAGAGGCATGGCTGGATACTGTGTCAAGGGCATTTGGCTCAATACCCTTGAGGTAATGGCAAAAATAAGTGCTTTTTGACTCTGAATATAAGCTGCCATTTTTGCCAGTCTGACTTTTGGATGATTCCCCCAGCAACATGATTTAGGATCTGCTTGAGTAGAATCAAAAGATGACCACGAGTGACAGCCTTGTATAGGACCAATTTAAATGCACTGTGCTTTGTAAAAGGGCCTCTACCTGCTACAATACTAACAAAATAACACCAACTCTGTCAACATCGGTCCCATCCCGTGAGATGTTAAGCACATTTAATTCTTGAAAGTTGGGGTTACTTTGCTTCTCACACAATCAGTTTCTAAGCCTAGAACAACTCCGTTCTATGGCAGACAGCAAAACATGCAGGAAGAGAATCAAGAAAATGTTTTAACACTGAGCATAAGAAAAAAGTGATATCATAGACCTTTACTGCTGCTTCAGAAAAATTCTTTTTTGCTTCCTGAAGGATATCTCCCAGATGGAAAATTAGACAGAGCAGGGAAGTTATCTTGCTGCATGTGCAGGAAGTATTTAAATTTGGTGGAATATTTAGTCTGTGAAGAACACACACAACTGTTTAAATTTAAAAACAAGCTGGAGCAGCTACAGATACAGGTAAGGGACCTCACACTTACTAGAATCTGTGTTAAATGTGCTCGGTTTGGAAGTATACGAGCTTTTGGTTTTGTAGCTACCAGCTCTATGTATCCCTACCTGGGATCTGGGAATCAAGATGAATTCTTTACTCTTTGGATATAATCACCAGCAAAATTCTACCTGTGTAAACTAAACACTTTCACCTTATAATTTGAATCGCACGTCTGTTGTGCTTTATTTTGTGATTTTACCCTAACAGAGACCAGTATATCTGAATGAACAATTCTGTTGTCCAGTGCATGAGAGAAATAGAATTATACTGGGAGGCTCTGTTCCCAAGCTCTCCTTATTTCTCTTGGTTCCTGAAGGATTAATAGGGCTAAAGAATTACAGAAACTTGGTATTTTTCACTCCGGCAGATACAGCCCAGAATGCACAGCCTTTTTGAGTAGAGAAGGTGCCAATTTATACAACCTTTTTTTCAGAGCACAATTACTCACTCTTCAGAAAGCATTGAGGAATGTTTGCACTTACGTGGTGTAATTAAATTTTGGGAAGTGAATGTTGTTCTTTGTTAGCACAGTGAAGTCTTCAGAACTCCTCAGAACAGCAGGCCTAAAAAAGAAACATCAAATTAACTCACTTCTTTTACTTAAATACATCAGTTAATGTTATGCTACTTTACTATTACCTGGAAAGCTGTCAGTAGGAGGAATATGTTGCTAAGAATAACAGAGTGAAATGCAGGGAGTTAGGTGGCTCAGGGGATCAAGAAAGATAGAGGTGGTTTTCTTAGTTTTAGGTATAAATTGTTCTCTCTCTATTGCAGTTGTTTGTGGGGGCCAAGCCTAACTGGAGTCTCTACATGCAGCTGAAATACGATCTCAGGAGACTTCTCATATAAATCTTGCTATAGAATAGTAGTAAGAAATTACACCGTTTGACAGCTGATGATTTCTGCACAATGAATTGGCAGTTTCATTGCTGGTCCCCACAGACAGGTGGCCTTTTACACCAGAGCTGCACGGCTAGTAAGAGTATAAGAAGGAGTCGTGCGCTCGATCCTAGAGGATGTCTCTGGAAGTCAGGTGTCAATCACATCACCAAAGGTTGTCCTGCCTTCCGAGCAGATACTGGTTTGGGGACCAAACCTGCAGTGGTTTGTGTCACTAAATATGTAGGTGGAATGCAAACACAATGGAAAGCAGGCCGCCAGTCTGACCCTTCCTCAAAAGAGCGATTTCTCTGAAGCTAACGTGGCAGGAAAGAAGGAGTTTTCCCACAAGTTGCCAGCTGGGTAACCTTGGCCTGGACTGTGGGAGACAACCTCTGCTACACCCCAGGCCCCGCCAGGGCTACAGGAAAGTAAGAGATACAATTTTTAGCATTGTTTGTCTGGCATAGGGACTATGCTGAACTGGAATATTGGCATTGTTCCATTTTAAGAATGAGGCAGGAATATTTTAATTTCCATCATGACAGCCATTCCAAGGGGGAAACCCAGTCTTCAGAGCAGTCATCCACATAAAGGACAGTGCTTCTAAGCAGGGAATATTTTTCCTATCATTGTATTTTGAGCAATGTCTCTGCATCAGAGATCTGTGACGACGAGAAGCACATTAGCTGGATGACATGCAGCTTCCATGAGGGACTTCTCAGGAGTGTCTTCTAAACCAAATCAACAAATCAGACTTCATTGCAAATCAAATTAATATTTGTGGATGCTACCTGGACACGAAAGTCACTGATGCGTTTCAGTGTATAACAGTCAAGACATTAATAATGTATGTTAGTTTTCAAAGAACTAAAAATGAATTAACCTATAATGTGAAACTCCATAATTCATCCACTGGGAAGCATCTGGAATCTGTTCCAAAGTTCTTCTGAAAAAGGTGGTGTAAACACCTGTCCTTCAGCCAGCTAATCTGACAACTGTGCCCTGCCTCAGGCAGAAACGAACAATCAAAAATAAAAGAATCTTCTTGCCAACATGCAAGGGCTTTGTTCAGCTCCTGCCATAACTAACGGGAAGGAAAAGGAGGCCTCCTGTATAGTTCATGAAACCTACCTTTCAAAGGAATTTGGACAATAAAGACAATCATGGGTGTAACCAAAGCCCAACATTGCTACCTCAGTATCTCAACCAGATGGCAAAGCTTCCTGGGCTCTGACCTTGGTCTTATGTATCGTTCTGGTAGAAAATAAAACACTCAGCTTTGCTTTTTAGTGATTCCTCATTTTTTCTTTGCCAATGGAACTTGTGAAGGAACTTCATACGTCGGAGGTTTGGGTCAAACCTCTCATCCATTATTTTTGGTCCCTGGTAGTGACCGACTACTGGCACTTTAGAAGAAGGTTAGGAAACAAGACAGAATGTGTCAACTGTGCGATGTAATTAAAAGCAAAATTCCCTCTGTAACGTATGCAGCAGTGAGCCTACGCAGTGTGACATTTAAAAATGACTGGCAGTCACTGAAACTTTATAAAAAACCCTTAGGATTTCATTAACTCAGGAAGCTCATGCATATCTTTCCCGGATGCTGTATGAACAATTACAGCCTTCCTGTTGTTGGACAAAGCCTTTTTCAGATCACAACTTTGTCCGCAGGAGAAGGGCATGGAAATTCCTTTAAAGAGCTGAAAAAAACTCAGCAGAAGGAGCTGTAGGAGGCATTGTGGGCTCTGGAGCAGACCTGGCAGTGGAAAAATTGCTCAGTCTCTGCAGAAAACCCCGAGTTAGGGAAAAGATGGGATATGTACATAGAAACAGGCTTGTATCTTTTAAAAGCAATGAGTTAATAAAAGTGATAATTGACCTAGTTTCTTACACATACATTTCAAAGCTGGTTGAGAGGAGCTAAAATTGATTATTATTTGCTCTCTTAGAATTTAATTTCCATCATTTCAGTTGAAAACAAATCTTTTCTAAAATTTTTTCATGCTTCGGCTGATACAGAATAGAAATAGAACATTTTCATCTTGGAACAGTGTACAGTCACGGGGTTACAAAAAAAGATGGCTACGAAGCCCCTCCATCCTACTCTCTAGGTCACAGCAGCATTGTTCCGTGGAGTCTTTTTCCTAGAGTTTTCTTCAGCTCACTATGACAGATTGCCACCACGGAGGTTTTCATCATCTACCTAGAAAGGACGGAGAGACTGTTCTTCAGTCTGAGGCGGATCCGCAAACACTAGCTTGCAGCACAAGGTACAGACAACCGATCTACCCCTACTGTTCTGGGAGGTGGAAGCAACCTCACTGTGATAAATGAACCCACAAAGAACTTGTACACCACAGAGCCCTAAGCCTTGCAGAAGAAAACCCCAAGTTAGGAAACTTTTTATTTCTGTCACTGATTAAACCTATCTTATGTTGATGCATTTTCCTTGACATTTGAATTAATGAGCCAAATGCCTCTAGTGAATTCAAGATGAGCCTGTGACATCTAAAACTGTTTCTATGGCAGCTGCATGATGATACAAACTGGAGGCTATGACTTCACTGCAGAATCATACAGCAGGACAGATTGTTAGAAGTTATTTAGATATTATAATGAGTGTTAACAGTATGGCTATGAAGGAAATAGCTGGTTTACATACATGAGATCTATATGTGCCTAGGCAAAGGGATTATCCTAAAATTTCATGGCTTTGTCAAAGTAAATCCTTCTTTTGACATTAAAAAAATGCAGATATCTCTTTCACTTCCTCAGGGTCTTTTTCCATGGATTCGACAGGACACCATACCCTGACATCACAGGTTTTAACAGTTGCATTATAATTCACACATCTTCCTCTTTGAATTCCTGTAGAGAAACAGGCTCTTACTTAGCAAAAAGACAAGCGTTTTTCACCAATTAGAGACAGTTTCAACATGTCAGTGATTCCTCCTCAGATGTAAGATAGGGAGCTTGACATTTCAGATTGTTGCAGCTTTCTATAGGAGGAAGCTGTAGGAAGAACTACACAAACCATGGTCCTGCCACACCTCATCAATCCTTATTTAGCCGTTTGCTTGGGTCAACAGTACTTGTCATTGTTTGGGCTGAGGGTGAAGTAATTTCCTTCATAGTTTTATATGCAGTTACATATCTGAGTCTTGGGATAAATTGAGAAACCAACTGTTTCAGTCAGAAGTTTAATTCAACAACATGAGCAAATTAAACAAGGATATAAAGGTGGGGAGAAAACCTTAATTCTTTCTGCACTCCTGGAAAGTCAGCATTTTCTGTGAGCATTTAGTCTTTACCAGGGACAGCAATAATCCAACCAGCAGCCCAAATTCAGGGAATCTCAGCACTACAAAGAACTTACATAGCTGATGAAAACAGTATGACGCCTTCTCGACAACTGGTCCCAAATAAAGGACACAAGTCCCCTGACTTATTCTGAGAACTACCTAACCGTCATAGGGGTGTTACAGACCCTTCAAACACGCTCAGCAGCCACGGGCTTCAATGGGAGTGACTGTGAAATCAGCCCTCATTCACACCAGTCTGTACTTTTCTTCACATCTCCCCTTCCTCTGCTCCCTCTCACTGTTTCTCCTTTTAGTAAGGGCACACACAAGCTGATAAGAACTCAGTTTTGTGGTTTTGAAAATATGTTCTCAGATATCTCTTAGGATTCTGTACTGTTCTACTGCAGTTCTCCAAGCTGGATCTTGCACGTGCTGCACTGGTCCATAATGCAATAGAAGACAGCACCCACAAAAAAATATTTCAATCTGAAAACGCTGTTTACGTACCATGACTGTGGATATCTACACTCCCTTTTTCACAGGACTTGTCTGAAGAGCAGATAGCTTTGGTGAAGGGATACTGGAAGAAAAAATTACATAAAAGAGCAATATAAATATCTCTCTCTCCACACCTATGTAAAAAGTCTTACTCAGCTTCAATGTAACAATATAAAATAATAAGAGACAATAACAATGCAAAGCAGGTATAACCCTTACTAATTATTTGGCTTATAGGAGATAAAGGCTCAGCTAGCTGCAAAACCAGAAAAAAGCCCTTACCTTGCTTATGATAACATTTTCCTTTATTATTTACATCTTTTCCTGTTTTTCACACTCTCTCGTATACTACTAAGCACAATAAATTTAACACTGGACTATTTAATTCTTTGTTTACTAGCAGTCCCATATACTTTTGCCAGTGAAAGTAAACTCGTATTTGGGAACTACTCTGCAAGGTCCCCCCTCTAGGCCGGCCAAATGAAGAGGAGAGCTGCAGCTGACGACGAGGTCTGACCTACAGAAAGGAAGGAAGGGGGCACGTAGGAATGAGCAACAGTAATAGTAAAACCACCATATTAGCAGAGAAGCTGACAGCAATTCTGTAGCTCCATCGTTCCTTCAGGTTTTCCTCGAGAGCAGCAGCAATGCCAGAGAAGCTGGACAGCAATCACTGGCCCGAATGTCATCACCTCCTGAAAGTGATGCAGATAGGTTTGGCTGCAAGGTCATTGGTGCAAGGCAAAGTCACAACTGCCAGCTGATTCCCTGAGAAAGAAAAGAAGCAATTAAACTAGATCGTGCATGTTATCTGCTGAGATACAGACATAAAAAGCAACAGTATTTGCTTGTACCGGACTGCTCCAAGGACAGTCCACTTTTTTACATCAACATGCATTTGATGCATCCTAGGTATAAATCACAAAGCATATTTACCTCAGGGCACCTCTGCTCAAGCTGATTCTCTGTCTTAATGATGTTGGTCATCACAAAAAAAGAGTTTATCACCTACATGGAAGAAAGAATATGAATCTGACTGAAATTTCACATACTTGATTCAGACCTCAGTTGTTCCAGAACATTACCGAGGACAACAAGGCTGTTCTTTCTCTACCTCCCCCTGACAGACATTCAGATTCTACCCGGCTCAAACAGGAAAAGCCAGGGACATCATCAGGGCAGGAATGAGCAGACAGAGGCAAGAAGGCACTGATTTTTTTTAAACTGGCATTACAACTGAAAAAGATATGCTAGCATTAATTGGTAATAACACTACTCTGTTTAGTACAGCTATATTGGATTGAATCTGTTCCTAGGTTTACTATTACCAAAATACTAAATTGATCATGTAAAAATTGTGTAACAAAGAGCACCACAGAAATCTCATAAAAGAGGATAATTTTTTTCCTTACATTAAGGGAGAAAGGGAAGATTTGGCTTTAAACACTGCCGTCTCCAATGTAAAGCAATCACATTGAATGGTAGGATAGAGACATGTCAGGAAAGCAACCAGATGTATCAATGGAAGTTGAATACTGGACTGACATTAAATTAAGACTTGCCTGCACTGATATAGTGTATTCTGCTGTATCGCCGATCCTGTCGTTTGTGTAAGCCACTCCCTTCACACTAGTGCGAACTGAGCTGTTAACTTCATCCGTCTCCTGATAGAGTCTGTAAGCGATGACTATACAACTGGCCAGATATAAAACAGAAAGGACAAATAAGCCCATAAGAATAAAATGGGTCAGCTTCTTTGTATCATTCTTGGACAAAATGCACTGCAAGATAAAAGTCAGATGGACATTTTCAAGCAATTGAGAGCCTTTTTGCGTGAGAGACATGCATCGGCCAGACCAACGTCTGCCTTGGTTTCACTTCCGCAACTTTTGGCTTTGTCAGAAATGAACTGATATATGCAAGTAAGAGAATTTCTATTTTCCCATCCTAAATGATACAGTCAACATGAGGTGACATCCTGGCCCTTCAGATGCCATTTGTGAAACACCAATTAACTGCAACAGGGCTTGATGTCATCCAAAAACTTTCATCCACGCTGCGTTGCTATGTACCGAGGCTTTGACTTTTTCTGTCACAAACAGTAGCGTCCTCTCTACTTTTTTTGTTTTCTAAGAGAGCTTAAAATACTTAGTCTTTAACTTTCCAGAGTGACTATTTTTGTGCCTCATGCTGGTTGCTTCAAAAACCTTGGCCGAATGTTTTCACTTGCTCATGAACTGGATGTGCTAATGAAAGGAGGAAGGACACCTCTGTTTTTAAGCTGACAGGAAAGTCATCTAGCTCATCTAACCCATAAAAGCACCGTCAACTTTGAAAAACTATTGTATGTTCCGAAGATACTTTCTACACTACATAAAAGTGATATAAAAGGTTTGCTTTGAAAAACAAGCCACAAGAGCCAGCACCATTTCAGTTTAACAACAGACTGTTCTGGGGAGGGATAAAATAGTATCTGAAGAACAGACATACAAAGCAACCGATCAATGTTCCTTTATTTGTATCGTCTATTATAAGAGCATTTCAGCCTTTTCCTTCTGGAGAACAGTGCTTTGGGATAACCATGTTGTTGGAAACTGGCAGTGGGAACCCAGCTCTGAGCAGCAGTAGGTGGGTATAGTACCTTAGTAAGGCAACTTGAATTTCCTGCAGACTTGATTCTTTGTGAGATTGGGATCAGTGTGCTCAATGTCCTGGCTTGCTGCCCTCCCATGAGAACGAAACCAACTTTATGAACTTCGGCAGACTTTGTTCAGCAAACACTTATCACCGAGAACAGCCTTGGTTTGGCAGCAAAGAGGAAAATCTGCCCTTTAGAGGCAATCAATTATTGCATATTCCTAAAACATCTTATTGTTCTTGAAATCTGCTGCAAGGGGTGACTCGCCATTTCACCTGACCCTGAACAGGAGACTCTACAGAGCAGGCTCTAATCTCAGAAACACTGGTGTAAATCTGAGATTATTCAGTGGAGTTATTTTGGATTTTTCAGACAAGAAACAAAACCAGACAGCATGGCAAGAAATGAAATTGCAAGTGTTTTTTGGAGGAAGCTTAGTTAACTCTGTCCAAGCAACTCCACCTTGTTAGATAACATCCTATGCCACTCTCCCACCACAAAGTTCTCACAACCACGTCCATCCTCCAAGAAGGGTCCAACGCCAGATCAATGATCTTGTTTGCTGCCACAGAACTCAGAGCACTGAAAGCCAAGTTGCAACCAGACGACCCCCAATACAAGAAATATTTGCTCACGTACAACGCAGCATCTCGTCATCAAACAGACAGAGCAACAGTTATATAAAGGAAACATTTCACAAATCCAGATGTAACACTCAGAATGCGTTTGTATTTTGGAGAGTCGTACCGAGTCAGGCACTCCAGCCAGCCATGTACACCCATTGCGAGCACTTTCTGAGAGGAACTGACAGAAAAAAGCAGTTTTGAAAACCACAGCTGCCCAATGTGGTCTTCTTCCACCCCTGCATCCTTCCCAGGCCACCCCACTATAAAGGCACAGTCAGAAACCTGTATGAGAATGCTACCACAGGCCTTTTAAGCAACGGCAGTTGACTGAATCAAGAACTGCCTGAAGAGCCACATCCTTTGGTTTGTTCACAGAAAAAGCACCAAATTTCACCCTGGAGCTCCAGAGCTGATTGCTCAGCACCGTTCTTGTCACCTTCTGTTGATGGCACCATCTCTCCTCAGTACTACCAGACTTCGCCAGTCCAAAGTAATGCTGGGACAACTGTAGAGATGAGGCTAAACGGATGGAATCTAGCATCACGCTGACCTTGTGGGCCTGACTCTCCACCACCCAACACTTCGCACCAGCGCAAAGGTGGTGTAGTGCATTTCTGGACCGGGCGGATGCATGCAACACCCACTTTGCAGGGGTGGCAATGGCCATGCAAGGTGCAGGGCAATGGTAAAGCAAGCTTTTGGGTCATCAGTGGCCCCAGAGATCTCCAGCTTCTTCTCTCACATTGCATGGGACACCATCCTATTTGGTCTTAGACCGGTTTTGTATTAGGTCATGGGATTAAAAGGGCGTGACAAAGTCACTACTCCTCTCAGCGGAGCCAATACGTGGCACATACTTTGGCTGCAGCCTCTCCTACTCCACAGAACCACGCACAAGCCAGAGCTGGTCAGTGTGCTGCAAGCCGACTCTTTGCATCCGGCCCAGGGGGTCAAGGAGCCAGTGCGAGGCCACCATCTGACACCGTCAGCACGGGAGGTGGAGCTGTAAAGATGCGGAGCTGTCAAGGTGGGACCTGTAAATCTGAGGCTCAGGGTCTGAAAGACAGGAAGTTTGGATCGGAATCTATTGGACCCAGATTAAAAGGACCAGGGTCCTCTCTCTCTTGCAACAGAAGACCCACACAGAGGCACAAAATATACAAACCCTACAACACAGATCTAATGTTTTTCTTCCAATCCTTTAGTATTTTAAATCACCTAGGATGCAGCCTCCGGCTGTAGTCATGACAAAACATTCAGAACCAGACAGGCTTCTTGGCTGTCAGTGTTGTCTTAAATGCTTTAGCACACAGGAACAAGTTACGTTCTGCACAAACAGGCTTAATTTTTTGAGACACCAGTGATCACTCCTTAGGCTTTTGCTGACCACACTCCAGGCTGCTATCATTGGTATTAGTGACATTTCAGCAAGCAAAATCCTGCTACTTAATAACTGAAAAAGCTGCAAGAGGGAACCAGAAACAGACCTGGGACCTGTTTAGGTGCTAGAATAGCAACAAAGAAATTGATTTTTAATATAACACAGGCAGACCTATGTGTACATACACATAACACAACATTTATAATAAAAGAGACAAACAGGAGGGCTCGGATTGCATAAGCAAAGCAGAAGCAAGTGTTGTCTTCTCTTCCTAAATGCTCTTGTTTTCACATTAACGTCTTCCATCTGTTTGGGATCTGACCTCAGCAGCTCAGCCAGACGTATTCATCTTCTTGCCCATGATGTTCCCATATAAGGTGATCTCTCTTCGCCCATGGAGCACGATTTTGATTTGCTCAGGTTTCGTTCCACTCTGATTTGCTGGCCTCTATGGTCGAGCTCTCTCTCAGTTTTGCAAGGCAGTCATCCACACAGCAGTAGCTATAAAGGGAGGAGAAAGTCAGGAGGGAGTAATGAAGCCGAGCCTGCAGATCTAAAGAGCTCTGGATAGTTTATTTGCAGGCTCCATTCTCTTTCTTCCGCACGTTGCCTCTGCATGATGCCTTTTCAATAAGCAGCTTCCATAAGCCTTTCCCAAGCAATATAAAGCATAAGCCCTATCCAGAAAACTGGATGGAACTACAGGGCTGAACTGTTATAACAACTCTCATGTCATTAGGAAAATTTGCTTGAAACCCTGTATCACTCTCCATGCAAACTAACTTGGGAATTTGGAAAATGCTCCCAGAATTATACAACAAATATATACGAACACTGGCCTTTGATTCTTTAAGACTTGATCCAGATACCACATCACCCCGACTTAGATAACTTAAGACAAGTTAAGCGTCAAAGAAATATCTCAGCTGCTTCCTGTAATATTTACCCAAGGCTGCACTGAAAGCTGTAATCTCTTTTATGTCTGTGAAGATTCTGTTGTGATACAGAGGTCAAGACACTGAGCTAAACCTTAACTTCTTTTAAGCAGCAAGTTTGAAAATTCAGACGCCACTACAGACTGTTAATATCCAGCAGCAGGCGGGCAGCCTGGGGTAGCAGTATGGCTACTTTGGGCTGCACGCACAAATAGCACAAAACCGTTGGAAGAAAGGATCATGATTTGAAAACATACAACTTTAAGGACGACACAGGATCCCCCACGCTTTCCCCAAGTCGGGGAGTCCCACAGAACTGGGCTCCGATGTATGATTGTGCTCCTGCCTTCAATCAATTGAGCTTTCAAACAGGCCAGCAAGCTGGAGCTCAGCCAGTCCAGTTCTAACGATGTCTGGTCATGGAGGTCTCCTTCCCCAACAGCCAGAACAATCAGATTTCATGGCTTTCAACCACGACAGAGTGAAACAATCTCACCATCTTTTTTTCTTCTTATCTTGGCATTTTCTAAAGTTTTCAGACATCCTTCCTCTGCTTTATCTGTTGCCTCTTTAATGTTACAGAGACACGAGAAGAGGGCAACAGTCCTTTGCTTCTTGGAACGTGCAGGAACCGAAATAGTCTGATGTAAAGGAGACTCTCAGAGCAGCGCCCTCCCACTGCACCCCGCACAGATCCCTCTCCATCCTCAGCACTGTGGGCACAATCGCTCTCTCTTCTGCACCAAGGCCTGAAGAAAGGATGTGTATCAGTATTTACAGAAACAGTGTTTCTCTAGCATTAAGTGGTGGACCCACATCCACCACTTTCTATTACCTATTAATGCGGTCTACAGGGAGCAGACCGGGCCCCCAGCGCCTCCACAGGAGATACCGTTTCCATTTGCTCTCTCTGTGTATTCTTTATGCTCAAAATACTCATCAGAAGAAAAGCGTAATTGATACCAGGAAAGCATGTCAAGGGAAAGTAGATCTCTTCTGGGAACTTGTAGGTAAATACGATTCCTAAAGGTCAGTATACAGACTGAAAGCACAAAGGAAACATGATCTGGTTTTAAAGTTCAAATCCAGGAGTCAGGAGACTTGGATTATGTTCCTGGCTCTACCACAGCTTTCATGCACAATCACAAGCAACCCATCCATCCCCTCTGTAACTTAGTTTAGCCAGTTAAAAGCTAGGACACCAATGCAGTGTCACTTTTCAGGCTTCCCGTGAAGACCAGTAAATTAGTATTTTATGAAGAGTTTTCTGTTCCTCAGAAAGAAGAAAGGAGCTAATCTAAGACAGACGCAGTGCTTAGAATTGCAAAGTATTACATTTATGATTGCTATTTACTGAGTCAAATTCTGCAGTGATTTACAACCTGTGCGTTTCAATTGGCACCAATTTAATATGACTCACTGCATATTTTAATCCATCATCTGTGGACTCACATGGGATTCTAAGACTATCCAAGAAGCTAATTGCAATAGCAGAGGCTCCAAAATCCACCTATTTAAGGTCTAAACACGTTTTTTTAAGGATCTGCAACAAAGAAACTTGCAGATCGAGAGATACCCATTTCATGAGCGAGTTTCACTTCACTATTTAGCCTATTTTTGATTGTTTGGTATTTTTGAAGCCCCTGTCCTTGTTTCAGATCTAGCACAGCTAGCACTACATATTTATTGCTACTCTGAGGCACGCTGGCAACTCATGTTCAACCCTGAGGACAGAAATTTGCCATTTGCCCCTGATGAAGCCTGGGCACAGGACTGGCATTCCCGTTTCCCAAGGATCCCCCTGTGCCTTCTTCCATTTCAAAGAAATTAAGTAACCATTCACCCGCTGCGTACCTCAGCCACACTTGACATCTCTTTAGGCTGTCAAAGACTGCCAGAAATCTTAATTGGGGAACTGCATCAATCTGTTTGTACATCTCCTACACATGCGGCAACAGCCTCCCTCTGAAGAAGCCGCAGAGCTAAGTATATACTCCAAAGGGTGACTCGCAAACCTATTTCTGCCGTTCCTCGCACCGAGAGCACTCGTGCTGTGAAGAGGCCCCAGCAGACTCGGCCTATGGAGGGCGTACGCCCCAGCATCACCTCCGGCGACCGCGGCCCCGCTTCCCACGCAGCCGGGCGGCGTCGCCCCTGCCCCGCCGCTGCGCCCGTCTGACGTCTGGCGATGACGCCGTGCCCGCCACGGCGCGGGGTGCTCAGGGGCTGCGGATAAAAATCCCAATTCCTGCCCGATTCGGGGCAGAAAGGGGGGAGACTGAGGTTCCCACAGCCCCACCGGCGCGGCGGGAAAGGCTGCCCGC